TTTCTAAAGAGAGGAGCCAGCCACCTTGCCATCCTCTTACACCACCATTTCTTCATAGAAAATCCTCAAAGTAACCACCTTTCTCCATTTTTACTTCATCAAAACACCATGGTTGTGTGTGGGTGAACCTTGGGTGGGAGGAAAGCTCTTAGTTTCTGAGTGTAAGCTTCTGAGTTGCTTTGTTTGGGACTGAGTTGGGAGATACCTTGATAGAGGCCTTGTTCTTGTCTTTTGGTGCCAAGGAGTGATCTTTTGACTTAAAGAACTTACCTTGTGTGGTGATTTTCGTGCATCACTAAGGCAGAGGCTTGGGGCACGTCATTGAGCATCTAAGGCTCTTCTTTTTCTGAGTTTAAGGACCCCATAGGTATACCTTGAACCTTTCCTTTGATTTTTCATGAAAATGGCTTGTTTTGGTCATGAAAAGAGATAACTTTGATTAATCATGTTAAAGGTTGTTAATTTATGTTTAATAAGTAGTATTGAACATTTGTTTTGGGCTAAAAATGAACCTTGGACCTTGGGGAAGCCATGGAGGCTCAGTTTATGCAGAAAAATTCTGCAGAAAACTGTTCTGCCCGCGTGATAATCGATTACTTTTGGTTGGTAATCGATTACCATGTGCAGTAATCGATTACCTATGTTTTGGTAATCGATTATCTAGTTCAGTAATCGATTACCATGTCTGGGTAATCGATTACCACTTGTGAAAAATGACCAGAAACCAGTTTTAATGTGTGGGAAAGTCCCCATTTGGGCATGATGGCCAAAGAGGTTTGTGTTACTGTTGGGAAACAGTGATACCTTTAATTGTGGGACTTAATTCTTGATAATTATGATCTAGAAAAGACGTAATCGAATAAGGAGATGTTGTCATAATGAAATGAACCTTTAAAGTATGGTTATTGATGATATTTCTCATATAAACAGATTGTGATTGTGTTGTTTGTGGGTCTTGAGCTTGTGCGGACTCTTGGTATTGGATAGCTAGTTTACAAGGTAAGCTTTCGTGTCCTCGGTTTAGCCATGTTGTGGTTCCACCATGTCCCATGGGGGTAAGATTATATGCATGCTGTGTTACATGCTTTGAATAATTGAAATGCTGTTGAGCTTTATGTGTAATGGCTTTTAATATGCATGTGTTGTTCCATCTTGACGGTAAGCCTGAGTATGTGGCGTCATACAAGACGGTGATACGGGGTGGATGCAAGTGGCGTCTTGCACTATGTGTGAGTATTAGACGTATATAAATCCTGCATTTCTCTGGCCAATAGAATATTATTTGACACACATGACATGATTATCTGTTGCATTGCACTGATTTAGAACTGATGATGATAAACTGCTTTTGAACTTATATTGCACATGTAAGTGAGCTTGGGGTGGAAGATCCTTGAGGACTCACTGTCTTACTGAGATTTCTAGTTTAGAGATCCTACCCCACGTTTGGGGAATGCTTATTTCAGTATCAGGTAGTATGGGGGCCGATGCCTCAGGCGGCAGGAGGCCGGAGCTTAGCTGATTTATGTTATTACTACTTATTTGCTAGCATGACTGGACTAGTTGCTGTTTATGTTTTCCGCATTGAGATTATGTTATTATGTTGAGACTGATGTTGGGCTTTGTTGCCTTATTTGTGTGAGCATGGGGATTGTCCATGTCACTTGTTGTTAGTACTTTTAGTTGGAGTTGTATAACCTGATAGTGGTCTGGTCTACTTAATGTAGTTCCATGACTAGAGACTCACATTTATGTTATTTATATTTTGAGGTATTACAATTAGCTGTTTTATTGCAATTTATATACAGGCGGTGTTTTATTAATTGATTAATAAGCAAGTTGGTAATGATAACGACATCATAATTGAAAAGAAAAAGATATTCCGCAATTTTAATTAAGCGCCGCTTAATACGATATTATGATAACATTACTGGATATATACGAGGTGTTACAATAAATAAATTTGCTTGGTCGGAAGAAAAAGAAAAAGAGGAGAATGAAACAGTACTGACACTGCCAAAATCAAAGATAAAACCCCAAAGAAATTTCATATTGGATGAAACAATGACAACAAAGAAAAAGCATATAGCAACTGAAGAAAAGAAAGTTGAAGGCATATTCTTTACAAATGTTAATGACTCAGAAGAGTAGACAGTTCAAGATAGAAATGATCAAACTCCTTCCCAAGTCCTACTCCAACAACTCCTGCATCTACAGCATCAACAGGAAGAAGCAACAACAACAAAGAATTTGAAACTCTAGAAGTAAAGCCAAGGAGCCGTAGCAACAAGTCAGGGGGAGTATCAACAAAGAAAAAATGCAAAGGTAAAATGGTTCTAGTAACAGAAAATCAATCTTTCGTTAATGTGGCAGAAAAGCAAAAGAAAGAAGATATAATGAAAAGTGAGCAAAGTGAAAAACCAAGGATTACTTGGTCAAATTTAGCAGAGATCATGTATGTACCGGAGATGCCACAAACACCGATAAAGATTGTTTATCTTCCACCAGTCCCGAAGCCACCGGACAAATGTGTTCCATAAAATATGATTGGCATGTAAAGTCAAATTTGAGGGGGAGTGTTAGAAATCAAATTTAGACTTTGCCATATTATCTCTAATCTCCATCATGCTAGAAGTATTTAAAATATCGTGGAAGTCAAAAGTTGTAGAAGAATATGGATGCTTGTGGAAACCTATGGAAAATTAAAGACTCTAGAAGAAGATAAGTTGTAATATTATCCAAATATGTTGTCAAGTTTATCCTTAGAAACATTATGAAGCCTTATATATATATATATATATATATATATATATATATATATATAATTTGGAGATTGAAGTGGTCAAAGGTGTTGAACAATTTGTGGCTATTATAAGTTGTCAAAACCAATTTGAAGACTACAAAGTTGCAAGAATAGTCAAAGATCGTGGCTAGCGGTTGTAATAGGTTGTCAAGTTCAAGTTAAACTCTTTCATGTACACACACACACACACACACACACACATATATATATATATAGTATGTTAGGCATTAGATGAAAGAATAGAAAGTTAGAAAGTGTGTAAAAGTGTGAGAAAATAAAGTGTTGAAACATTTGTGAGAGAAAAAGAAAGAGATTTCTGATAAACATAAATAGAGAATAGTGTTGTAATACTTGTGTTACGTCTCTCTAAAAGTTTGATATAATAATATTGCTCTTCGTTATTGTATTTCCAACAAGTGGTATCAGAGTATACCATTATATTTCCAATATTCCTTCTCTCTGCATGTTGCTTTTTGTTCAGTGATGTGTGTCCAATTCACTATGTATTACGGGTCAAATTTAGCACTTAATTGATCTAAATTCAACCAAAACACATGAAAGATGTGATTTAACTATTAATTCTTTTTCAGGAATACTTTCATGAAATTATTATGTTATGTAGGAAATTTTCTCGTTAAAGAATACCAATTGGAAAGACAAAGTCCTGCAAAAGAAAGCTCATGGCACCAATCTCTCTCACAATTTGGCTTCAAAGGCACCAAAAGTCTAACACTTTTGTGAAGACGAATACGGTGGTGCCAAAGATGCCATTTCCTCTCACAAAATGGCGCTAGAAGCTCTAATCCGCGTGCTGTGATTAAAATGAATGCAGTGGCGCCAAAGGCGCCATTTTCTCTCACAAAATGACGTTTTAATTTGCCACTTTCTCGCTTTCGCAAAAGTTACACTGAAGATTTGAATTTTAAATAAAACAAAAAAGAATCTTTTCATTTTATGGCAATTTTGGATTTAATTGAAATTTTGGATCATATTTGATAGGGGACTTAAAAAGATACCGCTTCTTCATATAAAAAAGGGAATTCAGAGAAATCAAAAAGGGGCATTTTGGAGCACGAGAGAAAGGGGGTTGGACACAGTGGAAGAAGTAGAACATCAAATACCATAGCTAGAGATAGAGAACTTCATATAAAAGGAAGCTTGATGGATATCAATCATCTTTGAATTCTTCTTTTCTTCTTCTTCTTCATGATTTCATCTGTTTTATTTTCATTCTTTATTTTCTTTAAGCCATCTATGTCTTGATAATTTTCATTTGTAGTTAGGGATATAGATCCGGCGTGAATCTTATTTATGGTTTAATTTTGTTTCTTTAATAAATTGTTTTAGTTATTTGTGTTTTACCTTGCATTAATTTCTATATCCCTGTATGAATTTATCACTCATATAGGGATTTGAGTGTTAGGATTCACAATCGACATATTGGGATTCTAATCCTAACAGGGGTAAAATACCAATTCTTGCATGATCTAAGCATAAACTTGCTTGAGTTGCAGACTTTATAATTCATTGAGTTTAATGCTTATACTGAGAAGAATCACTAAGACATTAAGATTCTAATTAGGAAAAAGGTTAAAGTCACTAAGACATTAAGATTTAACCAACTAATTTTAGAAGATGAATTGTTTGAAATATCTGAGATGAATTACTATTGAAATTAAGTTAAACTACTCTTGGAGGATCTGAGATGAAATAATTTTCAGCTACAGTTTTAGTTATTAAAGTCTTAATTCATTTTTTTACTCATCTTTATTCTTAGTCTGAAATTATTATTAATTACAATTGTTTTTATTTTCATTCTTATTCAAAATTACTCTTCCTACATAAATCGATATGTCCAAATTAAAGGAAATAGTGAGAATAGTATTTGATGCATTAATCTTCATATGATGATACTTTACTCACACTTTATTACTTGTACGACCGGTATAATTGCTGACATCACAACATTCGGTGTCTTATATCTAACGTCGTTGGCCCATAAAAAAATGGTGAAATAACGTACAATGGAGAGAAGAAATAATATGCTTCTGAAAATCATAGGGAATAGGATTTATTATGCCTCTAACATATACGAAACACTTAAAATGACAAGTATTAACTAGCCTCCTTGAATGGGGAAGTACTACAAATGAAATTCAAATTCCAAGATTAGATGCGCAGACAACTCCATTGTGGTCTAACTTGATTTCAAGTTCTCACTCAAAAGAACTTGACGAACCATGTTATCAAAATTCATAAATGAAGATCCATCTTTGTGAATGGCGACATCTTCTGCCAATTTCTTCCATTCCAAGGCTTTCTTGGTCAACACTTTTCCCTGCTGCCCCTCCATCAACTCTCTCACAAGGCTCTCAACTCTATTCCTCTTAACATCATCACCTCCTATCTGCAACCCAATCCCCCATTCCTTGCAGCATGTTGAAAGTATGCCTACAAAAGCTGCAAAGTGGGATATTTTATTTAGATTTTAGGAGTTTGTTATTTTCTGTTTTAGTATTTCAAATTTGATATGTTGCTGATTCTGTTTGTTAAGATTAGGATGTTATTATTCATGCCTACAAATAATGAGATATCTGATTTGTTCAGTTAGACTTTAACTCTATTTAAAGAGTTATTCAATAAAAGTTATGTGTATTCTCTGCACAACACTTTCAACCCTCTTTTCCTCTTCTTTTACTTTTCTTAAAACAACAAATTGGTATCAGAGCTACTATTCTGAGGGATCTGTGAGACTGAGTGACAAGCCCAACCACAATTCCTAAACACAAACACAAACACACACAAAACCTTTTCAGAATGAATTTAGAAGGTTCATCCATTCCAATTGCGCTTCCAGTATTTGATGGTCAAAATTATCACCTCTGGGCTGTTAGAATGGAAGCTTATCTTGATGCAAGTGACCTTTGGGAAGCTGTTGAACAAGAATACGAAATTCCAACCTTGCCTGATAATCCTACTATGGCTCAAATCAGAAACCACAAAGAGAGGAAGCAGAGAAAATCAAAAGCAAGAGCAACCTTATTTGCTGATGTATCATCCACTATTCTCACCAGAATAATGACATTGAAAACAGCCCACGAGATTTGGGATTTTTTGAAGCAAGAGTACGATGGAAATGAGAAGGTTAAAGGGATGCAAGTGTTGAATCTGATCCGAGAATTTGAGATGCAAAGGATGAAGGAATCAGAAACAATTCAGGAATACTCCAACAGGCTTCTTGGTATAGTCAACAATGTAAGACTTCTTGGTACTGATTTCAGATTCTAGAATTGTTCAAAAAAATTTAGTTACAATTCCTGAAAAGTTTGAAGCCACAATTGCATCTCTGGAGAACTCAAAGGATATGTCAAGTATTTCCTTGGCAGAACTATTAAATGCTTTGCAGGCACAGGAACAGAGAAGAAAAATGAGACAAGAGGAGGAGGTACAAGGTGCTTTTCATATAAAAACACAAAATTCTGGAGGAGGCAAAGATAAGAATAACAACAAATGGAAGAGTGAGAGGGGTGAAGGCTCCAACAAGCAGCAATATGAGACTTTTCCACCTTGTCCACACTGCAAAAAAACAAATCACCCTCAAAGAAAATGTTGGTGGAGGCCAGATGTCGAGTGTAGAAAATGTGGCAATATAGGACACGTAGAGCGGATCTGCAAGTCTAAACTGGAAGAGGCAAAGGTGTCCACAGATGAGCAAGATGAACAACTCTTTGTTGCAACATGCTTTGCTACAAGCAACAGTTCCAGTGATTCATGGTTAATAGACAGCGGCTGCACAAACCATATGACCAATGACAAAAAGTTGTTTATTGAGCTTGACAACACCATCGTTTCCAAAGTAAAAATTGGAAATGGTGATTTCATATCAGTCAAGGGAAAAGGGACAGTTGCTATAGAAAGCTTAACAGGTTTGAAACATGTTTCTGATGTCTTATATGTTCCTGACATAGATCAAAATCTGCTTAGTGTTGCACAGCTTGTTGAAAAAGGCTTGAAAGTCATATTTGAAGACAAATGGTGCTTGATCAAAGATACAGAAGGAAGAGATATATTTAAGGTGAAAATGAAAGCTAAAAGCTATGCTCTTAATATGATGGAGGAGGAGCAATTAGCTTTTTCAAGTACTGTCAGCAACACTAAATTATGGCACAAAAGGCTTGGACATTTCCATCTTGCTGGACTTCTATACATGCAGAAACAAGCCTTGGTGAAAGGTGTGTCATTGATTGAAGACAAGATGGATGATTGTGAGGCTTGTCAATATGGCAAGCAAGTCAGAAAATCATTTCCTCAAACAGCATGGAGAGCAACACAAAAACTGCAACTGGTACATACAGACGTTGGAGGACCTCAGAGAACATCATCTTTAAATGATAATAGATATTATATTATATTTATTGATGACTGTACTAGATTTTGTTGGATTTATTTCTTCAAGTCCAAATCTGAGGTTGCTAACATTTTCTGGAAATATAAAGCATTGGTGGAAAATCAAAGTAATTGCAAATTGAAGACAATAAGGTCAGATAATGGGAAAGAATATACAAATGATGTTTTTGAAAAATTTTGTGAAGAGTCTGGAATTGAGCACCAACTTACAACACCTTATACCCCACAACAGAACGGTGTAAGTGAGAGAAAGAATAGAAGCATTATAGAGATGACAAGGTGCATGCTACATGAAAAGGAGCTGCCAAAAAAATTGTGGGCAGAGGCTGCAAACACTGCAGTCTTCTTGCTAAATAGACTCTCTACAAGAGTTCTGCAGAAAAAAACTCCATTTGAAGCCTGGTTTGGTTACAAACCAGATTTACAAAATTTAAAAATTTTTGGTTGTGTTTGTTTTTCTTTTGTTCCACAGGTTAAAAGAGACAAACTTGATAAAAAGGCAGAACCTGGAGTTTTCATTGGATACAGTAGTACTTCCAAAGCTTATAGAATTTTCCAACCACAAAATGGAAAAATTCTTGTAAGTAGAGATGTTAAATTCATGGAAGACAAACAATGGAAATGGGAAGAGACAATAAATGAGTTGCCAAAAATTCCACAATACTTTGATGATGATATAGATGACATTCCAGTCAGAGGTACAAGACCGCTATCTGAAATTTATGAAAGGAGTAATGTAGCTGTTCTAGAACCTGCAGATCTCAAAGAAGCAGGGAAGGATGACAAGTGGGTAGATGCTATGAAGGAAGAGCTAAAGATGATCAAAAAAAATGACATGTGGGAGTTAGTGGACAGACCTCAACACAAGCAGCCTATAGGTGTCAAATGGGTTTATAGAACCAAACTTAATGCAGATGGTTCTATAAATAAATACAAGGCTAGGTTAGTGGTGAAGGGATATGCTCAGATGTTTGGAGTAGAATTTTCAGAAACATTTGCTCCAGTTGCACGCCTTGATACAATTAGAATGCTGCTTGCCTTGACTGCACATAAGGGATGGAAAGTTTACCATTTAGATGTAAAGTCTGCCTTCTTAAATGGTTATTTGCAGGAGGAGATATTTGTGGAGCAACCAGAGGGATTTCTAGTCAAGGGACAAGAGGATAAGGTCTACAAGCTAAAAAAGGCTTTGTATGGTCTTAAACAGGCTCCCAGGGCCTGGTACAGCAGAATAGATGATCATCTTCAAAGTCTTGGATTCATCAAAAGTCCAAACGATGCAACATTATATGTGAAGCTGTCAGATGCTAATTTAATTACAGTTTCAATCTATGTTGACGATATGCTTGTAACAGGAAATGATGAAAAGCTAATGCAGGAGTTTAAAGATGAAATGCTTCAAGTGTTTGAAATGACAGACCTTGGCTTGATGACTTTTTTCTTGGGAATAGAGGTGAAGCAAGATCATGATGGAGTCTTTATAAGCCAAAAGAAGTATGCAAAGGAAATACTAAAAAAAATTCATATGGAGGACTGCAAAAGCACTTCTACTCCAATGGACCACAAGGAGAAATTTAGCAAGGATGATGGAGCTGATAAAGTTGATGAACATCATTACAGAAGTCTAATTGGTTGCTTAATGTACCTTACTGCAACTAGGCCTGACATTGTATTTGCAGTAAGTATACTTTCAAGGTTCATGCATTGTGCTAGTGAAGTGCATTTTCAAGCCACCAAAAGGATTGTGAGATATATTAAGGGCACTATAGATTATGGTGTTAAGTATTATCACTTTCAGAATTTTGAGCTTCATGGATATTCTGATAGTGATTGGGGAGGCTCAATTGATGACATGAGAAGCACAACTGGTTATTGTTTCAGTTTTGGATCAGGAGTTTTTTCATGGTGTTCAAAAAAACAAGATATTGTAACTCAAAGCACTGCAGAGGCAGAATATGTGGCAGCCACTGCGGCTGTGAATCAAGCAATTTGGCTGAGAAATGTACTTGCTGATTTACATATGGAGCAAAATGAGCCAACGCAGATCTTTGTTGATAATCAAGCCGCTATTTCAATTTCAAATAATCCTGTTTTTCATGGCAAAACTAAGCATTTTAAGATCAAGTTGTTTTTCTTAAGAGAAGTGCAGAAAGAAGGTGAAGTCAAGCTATTGTATTGCAAATCTGAAGATCAAAGTGCAGATATTTTAACAAAAGCTCTCCCAAAAGCCAGATTTGAAGCTTTGAGATTTAAACTAAGTGTTTGCAGCTATTAAGGCAAGGAGGAGATTTGTTGAAAGTATGCCTACAAAAGCTGCAAAGTGGGATATTTTATTTAGATTTTAGGAGTTTGTTATTTTCTGTTTTAATATTTCAAATTTGATATGTTGCTGATTCTGTTTGTTAAGATTAGGATGTTATTATTCATGCCTACAAATAAGGAGATATCTGATTTGTTCAGTTAGACTTTAACTCTATTTAAAGAGTTATTCAATAAAAGTTATGTGTATTCTCTGCACAACACTTTCAACCCTCTTTTCCTCTTCTTTTACTTTTCTTAAAACAACACAGCAAAATCGATAATTAGTTGGTTGCTCAGAAAAGAAAGGCCAACATATAACTGGCACTCCATTACATAAACTTTCAATTGTTGAATTCCAACCACTGTGTGTCAAGAATCCTCCAATTGCTGGGTGAGCTAACACTTCCTCTTGAGGACACCAATTTGACAATAGACCTCTCTTTTTTGTCTCTGTGACAAACTCCATAGGAAGAACTGCGTTTTCACCAACCACAAGATCAGGCCTAATGACTTACATGTGGTATCAGAGCATGTGTTTAAGAATTTATGTTTTTTCATAAATAATTATGAATGGATTATTGATTCATGAAAAGTTAGGGTTACTTCTCAATTTTTGCGTATGAAAAGTTGGAAAACATAACGATTTATGTATCATTTGCACTGTGCATTTCGGTTTTCCATATCCATTAATAAAGTTGTATTCGCACGGTTTTCCATATTCATTTACCATGATAAAGATTCACGGTTTCAACACATTCATTTTGAATTAAAGACCTCGGTTTTTTGTGTCTACGGAAAGCCTTTGAATTAATGGACAAAGAAGTGCAGTTCTTGTAATGGGAGAAACCGTGATAATTCATGTTGTTTTGGACGTGACGTGCATCATTGTTGGATTACTTGATATTTTTGAATCAATTAACCGTATGAAAAGAATTTGCCATTCTTGGTTTTAAGAATTTGTCATTCTCGATTTTTGTGTCCATTTGGTTTTGAATAGAAAATTGAGTTCTGATGCAAATTTTGAATTCACAAAAGACGAAACCGAATGCATATTGAATGGATTCTGTGCTCGGGATTAATGGATATTCATGTTTACATTATCGAAAACCATCAAATTCATATTAACGTAAAGGGTAATTCATGTTTTTCGTTTTCGTTGAAGTTAATGTTTATATATATATATATATATATATATACAGTAATGAATTTGATTATGTGATGTGATTGGATTAAAATTAAATGTGAAAATTTAATCCTATTATTGTTCATGAAATATTAAAATTTTGGAATTAATTATGGTAGATTTGTCAGTCACCAAAGTGGCCAAATTTTGAAGAGTTATTTTAATTCCAAATATTATGAATTTTATTTCAATTACCATGACTGTGATGCTATGAATAGTATGATATAATTTTCTGGTTGTGGTATATTGAAGTTCATTATTATAGAACAGTTAGGGATCAACCCAAAGGTTGATTATTTGTTTTATAAAATGAACATGGATGTTGGTATTGTTGGCATATTTTCTCACATTTGGACATCCAAAGATGACAAATATTTATGATAGGGGTATGCATCATTGCCAAATTATGTGAAATTCTTATAGCATCATTATAGTTAATGTTGTATGTTAATGGATCCCCAAAGGTGAACATTGATATGCATTTAAGTTAGAATGTTTGAATCTGTGAAGTATGTTAGTATGTGACATGTATGACTCAAAGCATTAATGTTTAAATGTTATTCCTCGCAGTACCGGTTGCTACACATTCCATGCTCTCAACTGTTACAGTTTTTAATGGGCTAAACTTCTCTGAATGGAAAGAGCAAATCCAATTTTACCTTGGGGTAATGGATATGGATATGGCTCTTAGAGAAGAGATACCTGGTGCTATTACTGATGAAAGCACTGAGGATGAAAGGGACCATTTTAAGAACTGGGAAAGATCTAACAGATTAAGTTTGATGTACATGAAAATGAGCATTGCAAGCAACATTAAGTCAGCTCTTCCACAAACTGAAAGTGCCATCGAAATGATGAAACTTGTGGAAGAACGCTCCCAAACAGCTGATAAGTCTCTTGCTGGGACACTTATGAGTACACTGACCACCATGAAGTTTGATGGTTCGCGTACTATGCATGAGCATGTTATTGAAATGACAAGCATTGCGGCAAAACTGAAAGCATTGGGAATGGCTGTGGATGAGAACTTCCTGGTGCAGTTCGTATTGAACTCATTACCGTCTGAGTATGGTCCTTTCCAAATGAACTATAATACCATGAAAGACAAATGGAATGTGCATGAATTGCACAGTATGTTAGTTCAGGAGGAAACCAGACTTAAGAATCAGGGAGCTCATTCTATCAATTATGTAAAGCATCAAGGAGCTGAAAAGAATGAAGGAAAGAAGCATGAGAAGAAAGGAGGAGGAGGAGGACCCCTTAAAGTGAATGAGGCCTCTTCTTCTAAAATCCACAAAAAGGAAAGTAATGCAAAGATGAGGTGTCATTTCTGTAAAAAGGAAGGGCATTTCAAAAAGGATTGCCTGAAACGTAAGGCTTGGTTCGAAAAGAAAGGTAAGCCTAGTGCTTATGTATGTTATGAATCAAACCTGGCTGAAGTTCCTTATAATACTTGGTGGATTGATTCTGGTTGTACTACTCATGTTTCTAATACAATGCAGGGATTTCTTATGACCCAAACCACAAAGCCAAATGAAAAGTTTGTCCTTATGGGCAATAGAGTGAAAGTTCCGGTGGAAGCTGTTGGGACTTACCGTTTAATTCTCGATAGTGGATTTCATTTTGATTTATGTGAAACTCTTTATGTACCTAGTATATCTAGGAATTTGGTTTCAATTTCCAAACTTGATGTTGCTGGTTACTCTTTTAAATTTGGTAGTGGTAGTTTCAGTTTGTACAAGCACAATCATTTGATTGGTAATGGTACTTTATGTGATGGATTATATAAATTATGTCTTGATAATCTTTATGCTGAAACACTTATGACTCTGCATCATAATGTTGGTACTAAACGTGCCTTAATTAATGAATGTTCTGCTTACTTGTGGCACAAACGTTTGGGACATATTTCCAAAGAAAGGATGAAAAGATTGGTAAATAATGAAATCCTTCCGGATTTAGACTTTACTGATTTAAATATTTGTGTGGATTGTATTAAAGGAAAACAAACAAAACACACAAAGAAAGGAGCCACAAGGAGCACTCAGCTTCTTGAAATTATACACACTGATGTATGTGGTCCGTTTGATGTTAATGCTTTCAATAAAGAAAAATATTTTATCACTTTCATTGATGATTATTCACGTTATGGTTATGTCTATTTGCTGCATGATAAGTCTCAAGCTGCAAATGCTTTGGAGATTTATATTAATGAAGTTGAAAGGCAATTAGACAGAAAGGTGAAGATTGTCAGGTCTGATAGAGGTGGTGAATATTATGGAAGGTATGATGAAAGTGGACAACATCCGGGCCCATTTGCTAAATTTCTGGAAAAGCGTGGTATTTGTGCTCAATACACAATGCCCGGTACACCGCAACAAAATGGTGTATCAGAAAGGCGTAATAGGACCTTACTGGATATGGTTAGGAGTATGTTAAGTAATTCTTCTTTACCTGTTTCATTGTGGACTTATGCTCTAAAAACTGCCATGTACGTATTGAATAGGGTTCCTAGTAAGTCAGTTCTAAAGACTCCTTTTGAACTTTGGACTGGAAGGAAACCTAGTATAAGACACCTGCATGTTTGGGGTTGTCAGGCAGAGATTAGATATTACAATCCGCAAGAAAAGAAACTGGATGCAAGAACAATCAGTGGTTATTTCATTGGTTATCCAGAAAAATCGAAAGGGTATAGATTTTACTGTCCTTATCATACTACAAGGATAATTGAATCTGGAAATGCAAGGTTCATTGAGAATGGTGAAGTTAGTGGGAGTGAAACACCACGTAAAGTGGATATTCATGAAGTGAGAGTACAAGTTCCATTACCTTGTAGCTCTAGTAAAGTTATTGTTCCTTATGTTATTGAACCAATCAATAATAATGAAGGACAAGTTAATGATCCCACTACTCATGAAGAGATCATTGTTGATGAACCGAATGAACCCATAGTAGAAGAACCACAACAAATAGCATTAAGAAGATCTCAAAGAGAAAGGAGACCTGCTATTTCTAATGATTATGTGGTATATCTACAAGAGTCTGAATTTGACATGGGTATTCAGGATGATCCAGTAACGTTTTCACAAGCCATGAATGGTGAAAATGGTGATAAATGGTTAGATGCTATGAAAGATGAGTTGAAATCTATGGAACAGAATAAGGTCTGGGATCTTGTTGAGTTACCAGAAGGGTGCAAGAGAGTTGGTTGTAAATGGGTCTTTAAGACCAAACGTGACTCTCATGGTAACTTGGAACGTTACAAGGCCAGACTAGTTGCAAAGGGATTCACTCAGAAAGATGGCATTGACTATAAAGAAACTTTTTCACCAGTTTCAAAGAAGGATTCGTTAAGAATTATTATGGCATTGGTGGCTCATTATGATCTAGAGTTACACCAAATGGATGTGAAAACCGCTTTTCTAAATGGAAATTTAGATGAAGATGTGTACATGGACCAACCAACGGGGTTCATAGAAAAGGGTAAAGAGCACATGGTGTGCAAACTTAAGAAGTCAATATACGGACTTAAACAAGCTTCACGGCAATGGTACCTTAAGTTCAATGATACCGTTGTTTCCTTTGGATTTAAAGAAAACATCGTTGATCGATGTATATATCTGAAGATCAGTGGGAGCAAGTTCATCTTATTGGTTCTGTATGTTGATGATATTTTGCTTGCAACTAACGATCTTGGTCTTTTGAATGAGACTAAGAAGTTTCTCTCTAGTAACTTCGAAATGAAAGATATGGGTGAGGCAGCTTATGTGATAGGAATAGAAATATTCTGTGATAGATCACAAGGACTGTTAGGTTTGTCTCAGAAAGCATATATTAATAAAGTTCTAGAGAGATTCAGAATGGAAAACTGCTCATCGTCTCTAGTTCCAATTCAGAAAGGAGATAAGTTTAGTCTCATGCAATGTCCTAAAAGTGAATTGGAACGAAAAGAAATGGAGGCAATTCCGTATGCATCATTAGTTGGGAGTTTAATGTATGCTCAAACTTGTACGAGACCAGATATTAGCTTTGCAGTTGGGATGTTGGGTAGATACCAAAGTAATCCCGGTATGGATCACTGGAAAGCAGCAAAGAAAGTTCTGAGATATTTGCAAGGAACTAAAGGTCACATGCTTACTTATAGAAGGTCTAGCAACCTTGGAGTGATTGGATACACAGATTCAGATTTTGCAGGATGCGTAGACACAAGAAAGTCTACATGTGGTTACCTGTATCTTTTAGCTGAAGGAGCTATATCATGGAAAAGTGCGAAGCAGACTGTAATAGTTGTGTCCACTATGGAAGCTGAATTTGTGGCATGCTTTGAAGCCACAATTCAGGCTAAATGGCTACGGAACTTTATTTCAGGGCTTGGATTGGTCGACAATATTGAAAAGCCGCTGAAAATTTATTGTGATAATTCCGCAGCTGTCTTCTTTTCTAAAAACGACAAATATTCCAAAGGTGCTAAACATATGGAATTAAAGTACTTTGCCGTTAAAGAAGAGGTTCAGAAACAAAGAGTGTCTATAGAGCATATTAGCACCGATCTTATGATAGCTGATCCCTTGACGAAGGGATTACCGCCCAAGACATTTACTGATCATGTATGTAGAATGGGCATTATGTCAGCTAATGAATGATGATAATTATTGTTATGTATTAAGTGTTGACACTCTGAGCTCATTGATGAATATATGTTTCTATTATTGTCTTATTTTCAATTTATGAATGCATGCAAGTATATGTGATGATATTGAAAATATTTGTGGTCCATTATGAAGACATTATTGTTGGACATAATGTGTACTTCCTATTAAAGTATCATGTTAGGAAGAAGAGTCAATATAGTAGTACATGGAAGGGACTATGCCGACTTGATAGCATACAACCGCCATGACTCTTGTTGATTTTATTTCTAATAATGAATTATGATGAAGTCAATGTATGGAACCTTTAGCCTAATAAATGCGCATTATAATGAATGTTGATTAAATCATGAAGGGACACCTCATGACATGAGTCAAGTGGGAGAATGTAAAACTTATTGTGTCTCATGTATAATATTAAGTGTCAGTTGATTTAATTAATAAAAGGGCATAATGGTAATTGACAGTAAAGGGAAGTTATTAAAAGAGTAACTGCTGATAGGTGCAGTTACATAAGTGTTATATGGTCAGTTTTCTGTGTAAGTGTCTCTGACAAGAAAGAACGCTCCATCTGGGTCTGCCTATGATAGTTGTATTCTATCCCTATCAAAGAAGATACAAGAACAGTGAAGGGTAAAGACTCAGAGAAAGGATCTCACCATCAAAGTTCTTCCGCAATTATGGATAAAGGTATGTTTATGTGAAACTCATAAATTCTGAAGATCCTCTGTCATGTTCTTGAATCATTACTGTTGAACATGAATAAATGTATTACTGATGAAATTAACTTACACATGACACCATCAGAAACTATGCACGTAACAGGAGGGATATTTGTGGCGTTGTTGAGTTTGTGAAGGAGGTTCTTGAATGGAGTTAAGCATGTTTTTCTGACGGAGTCACACAGGGAAGGTGTATCCTGTGTGGCATCCACATCAGACTCTGGTAGACCGTCGGGGATAGTTTCAAAACGGAAAGAAGGGAAGCCGTTCAGGGAATTTGGACCCTGAGATTTAAGAAGGCGTTTATGGTTGAACTCTGTGTTAACGAAAGTGATGTGAAACCCTCTGAAGTGGAGGAGCTTCGCTAGTTTGAGCATTGGAGTTATGTGGCCCTGAGCTGGGTAAGGTATACAATTCGCATGAGGCTTCTTCTCTGCCATGCTCAAATAACTCATTGTGGTGGCTAGCTTTCTGTTCTCTAATGTAGTAATAGTTTCTTTGATGGAGTTGAAACAATGCATGATGCTTATATACTAACATAAAATATATACATTATTGAAAAAGTGATTATTATTTTAAACATTAAATAAATAAAAAATTTGTAGTATGAAAGGAGGAGGGTGGGTGACTACTTCTATTAGTGACGTAGGGAAGTGGCCATTTATATAAAATTTATTTTGTTAATGAAAAGTCTTATAAAATCGATCACTATAATGTTTAATCTTAAGTGATGCCAAATTCAAAATTAAATGATATGTATATTCTTTTAGAAGTGTAAGAGGTCAAATTCATTGCGTGTTATGTCATTACGTGCAAGTATTTATAAATATTCTTTTGAATTCCGTCGTGACTTTGATAGCAAAATTAATTTATGTAAAGTAATATTTTGGTTCTTTCGTTTGTTTGTGTGTAAGAGGGATCGAGTAGCAGAAAAAATGTTCATTTTCTGCATCGCTTTAAAAAAATTATGTGAACGTACGTACAGCTAGACCATGTTTTATGACTCGTATTTGGAAAGGATGACCCCACTAAGTATGTGATTGGTTTAATTTTTAATTGATAATTTTATCAAAACATTATAAAAAAAACTATTCTTAAAATAAATTAATAAAAGGACATGAATAAGAAATTAATGAATCCTCTCATATAAAATAAGGTCATATGAGAGGATTTTAATCCTTTAAATACAAATCAAAGTTTATTATTTTTTTATCCTTTTATTCTAATGTATATGAAGGATGATAAGACACTTGCAAAATCAGTATTACCCGCCCTTCCTGCATACACCACGCAGTCAGTGATGCTTGCTCGAGATATGAAGGACTCCATAGGTTGTGTTTTAGCTGTGGCAGGTATGGCCACCGCCAGGAGAACTGTGCAGCTGGGAAAGTCCTTTCCCAGGATGGGAAGCTCAAGGTGGTGACAGAGAATGGAGGCCCAAGCAAAGTTTCCTTGGAAGTGAAAGGAAAAAAGGATGACCCAAATGTTTTTGGGGAATGGATGGTTGTGAAGAGAACGAAGAAAACACGTCGGTTGAAGGCGGTTCCTGAAGCTCCGGTGACCGGAAAGACAAAACCAGGGCTAGGGAACGTGGGAAAGGGACAGGTCAGTCCCCAAGATAAGGATGTTAGTCCTAGGAGACAGACTGAGCAGTACAGAGCCGTCAGGAAGGATGTCGTTCCAAAAAAGATCTTAAAGCCTTCCAAGCCTTTGGCGGTGCAGAAAGAGGTCACCCCCCAAATCGTGAAAGTCCTTAGGGAACAAAAACCTGCTGCCAAAGCGCATAACATGGATGCTGAAGTCAACGTCCCCACCTTCCCCTCAATTGGGAGCATACCGAGGACCAGCAATATCGTGTTCTAGGATACGGTCAGGTCCAGTTTAGAAGAAAGGAAAGGGAAGGTGACTTTAGGGAGTCGAGGCCTGAAATCCAAAGCAAGAACTCCTAGGAAAGACAACAAGCCCTGCATTGGGCCCAATAAGAAGTTGGCTGGCCCAAAGCAACATGTTGAGGTGAGCCCAGACAATCCAATTCTACCCCTCCAGATTGATAGTGCCAATATATTGGCCATGGCCGAAGACAACGAGAGGAAAAGGGCCAAAGAAGAGGATATCCAAAGAATTATGAAGTATATGAGAAAGGACCAGGAGAATATCTTGTTGGATCAGGCCCTAGTGGTGTTGGGGCCTTCGACAAACCCCTCATGACGGAGCCCAAACCTGGGTGGAACCTGGCTACCTTTATATTGTGTTTCCTTATGAATTTATTTATCTGGAATTGCAGGGGTGTCCATAAAAAAGGTTTCATAGCTCTTATTCGTGAACTAAAGTTCAGGTTTAACTTCAAAGTGATGGTCCTTCTGGAGACTAAGTGTAGTGGTGAGAAGGCGGATATCAGAATCAAATAATTGGGTTTGAACAAATTTTACCGCCAAGAGGATGTTGGCTTTTCAGGAAGATTTTGGGTCCTTTGGGACGACACTGATGTTCACATCCAAATTCTACTCTCCCAGCACCAAATAGTTCATGCGAAGGCTCACCATTATGAGTCTGGGAAGGACGAACTAATATCCTTTCTGTATGCAAGCCCGCGAAGGATAGACAGACGCTGCCTTTGGGAGTCTTTTAGCAAGATTGCTTCCTCCATCTCTAACGAGAGTTGGATGGTTATGGGTGACTTCAACGCCATGCTCCTTCGATCCGAGAAGAAGGGAGGAAGTGACTTTTGTTGGAATAGTGCATCTGAGTTCAGGAATTGCTTGACAGATTGCCTAATTAAAGACATTGGTTTCTCAGGACCCAGTTTCACTTGGAAGAGGAATGAGCTTCAGGAAAGGTTGGATAGAGTCTGTGTGAACGAGAGATGGAATACTGAGTGGGAAAACAAGGAAATGGTACATCTTCCCTTCTACTCGTCGGACCACCGCCCAATCCTTATTACTAACAGTAATACAGATGACCATTTACATGGGAATAAGCCTTTTCGCTTCCTAGCTTCATGGCTGACAGCCGAGGATTTTGGTGACTTGGTCTCTAGCTGTTGGAGGAAATCCAAGAATTGGTCAGAGGCTATAGATAACTTCCAAACTGAGGTGATGGACTGGCACATTAATAGCTTTAGAATCACCCAACGCCAAAAAAATAGACTCCATGCTAGAATCAAGGGCATTGAGGACCATCTCAGCTTCAGGTATAACCATAATTTGGAAGTATTACTTAAATTCCTTTGGAATGAGCTTGATTGTATCCTCATCCGAGAGGAAATAGATTGGTTTCAAAGATCTCGATGCAATTGGATAAAATTGGGAGATAGGAACACGAAATTCTACCATTCTAACACAGTTGCTAAGAGAAGAAGAAACAAAATCAAGGCTATCAGGAATGAGGAGGGGGACTGGGTTCTGGAACCCCAGGAGATCATTAACCTTGGCTGTAGATTACTTTGAAAAAATTTATACTGCAGAGGAAACCTCTCTGGATGATTTCCCTGTCAGAGGAGCCTTCCCCCATCTAGAGGAAGTAAATCTTGCCGGCCTTGGGGAAGCACCATCCAATGAGGAAATCAAGAGCATTGTCTTTAACATGGGGAAATTCAAGGCCCCTGGTCCAGATGGGTTGCAAGCTGTGTTCTATCAGTCTCAGTGGAATACTCAGTGCATCAATATGTCAACTCATTAAGGATATTTTCTCTAATCCGAAAAAAGTTTCTGAGATAAACCAAACCCTCTTGGTCCTTATTCCGAAGATGGAAATTCTTGAAATGATCAATCAATTTCGCCCTATCAGCCTTTGCAATGTATCCTTTAAAATTGTGACCAAACCTATTGCTAGCAGATTAAGGGGGTATATGCAAACCTGGATATCTCCTAACCAATGCAGCTTTGTTCTTGGGAAGAATGGGAATGATAATGTGGTGATTACTCAGGAAGTCATCCACTCTATGAAACTGAAAAGGGGCCCTAAACAATGGATGACTATTAAGCTTGATCTTGAGAAGGCTTACGATCGTTTGGATTGGAGTTTTATTCATGAAATCCTTGTGGATATTGGGATGCCTGGGAACCTTATCAGTCTTATTGACATGTGTGTTGGATCCGCATCCATGAACCTCTTATGGAATGGCAAAAGGACGAAAGATTTTAAGCCTGGAAGAGGGCTTCGTCAAGGAGACCCCTTATCCCCCTATCTTTTCGTTCTGTGTGTAGAGAGACTAGCCTATTTGATCTAGGTTACGCTTGATGTGAAAGTTTGGAAACCGATAATCCTAAGGAAGAATGGGCCCCCCTAACCCATCTCCTTTTTGCGGATGATATTATCTTGTTTGCCGAAGCCTCCTTAGACCAAGCTCAGATAATTAACCAGATTCTTCGTACCTTTTGCCAAGCATCTGGTCAAAGTGTGAGTAAGGAGAAATCGAGAGTGTTCTTCTCGAAAAATACCTATTTTCACAAAAAAAAAAGGAGATCAGTGAATGCCTCAATATCAGCCTCACTGGTGACCTAGGTAAATACCTTGGCATATCTCTCCATCACAACTGAGTCTCTAAAGACTCTCTATCCCAGATTCTAGAGAGTCCAGACCCGCATGAACAGTTGGAGCCACAAAACCCTATCCTTGGCTGGACGTGTTACACTAGCCAAATCAGTATTAGCCGCCCTTCCTACATACACCATGCAGTCAGTTTCCTTCCCTCTCCAACTGTGCGATGAGCTTGACAAGACAACTAGAAGGTTTATTTGGGGATCAACACCAGACCATCAAAAAATCAACTTGGTGAACTGGGACATCTTATGCTCCCACAAAGGTAATGGTGGAGTGGGAATGAAACAATCTAGGCTTATGAATAAAGCTATGTTAATGAAGGTTGGGCATGGAATTCTCTCTAAACCAGATTCTCTTTGGGTGAAAGTCATTCGCAATAAATATGGGGTTGGGGATGATTTAATTCCGAATCTGAGGAGTCATTCAGCTAAGTCTAATTTGTGGAAGGGGATCCAAAATTCCTGGCAGGAGGTGACTGCTAACTCAAGGATCCTGATTGGCGATGGGAAGAAAGCAAAATTCTGGCAAGACAGGTGGCTGCCCACTTCGAATACCTTACTGGAGGAAGCTTCTGCTCCTATTCCTGAAGAGAGTCTCCCTTAGAGTGTAAACAGGTATGTGAGTCTCAGTGGAGATTGGAACTGGAGTCTTTTCCAACACCTTCTCCCCCTTAACATCATTAACATCATTGCGGGTCTCATTCCTCCTCTCCCGGATGATGGAAATGACCAAGTTATATGGAATGACTCAAAGGATGGCTCCTTTTCAGTGAGTGATGCTTACTCGAAGCTTGCCCTAATTTCCCAGCCTACAAATGAGCTCTGGACCATTCCATGGAATTGGAAAGGTCCCCACAAGATTCAGTTTTTTCTCTAGTTACTTCTCTATGATAGGATCCTATCGAATGAACAGAGGGGGAAGAGAGGGTTATGCAATTCAACCGCTTGTCCTAGATGTCACAGCGCTGTGAAGATAGACTCCACTTGATCAGGGATTGTGTCTGGGCTCGTAGGGTCTGGAATCTACTCATCGAGCCAAAGTGCCATGCTCAATTCTACAATCTACCTTTGGATCGGTGGCTGGAACAAAACATGAAGAAAGGCACAGGTAATCTAAAGGACAACAAAGCTACCTGGTTTGGTGCTGCTTGCTAGTGCATCTGGCTGGACCGGAATGAATTTATTTTCAAAGACAAAGCCCCAAATGCTTTTAGCACTTTCCTCCGAATTAGAAACCTTGTGGAGAACATTCACCTTGGAGAGTTTATGCATACCGCAGCGAACATTATACCCAGGGCTAGATCTGTTGCTTACTTCAAATGGATTCCCCCCAGATGGACTGGATCAAAATTAATACGGATGGATCCAACTCTTTGGATGGGAGTCGCACTTCTTGTGGTGGAGTATTTCGCGATTCTGAAGGTAATTGGTTGGCTGGGTTCAGGAAAAACATGGGCCATGGGAGTCCCCTCTCAGCCGAGTTGAATGGGATCCTTCAAGGTCTAAGACTCGCCTGGGATAGGGGCTTTAGAAAGGTTTGCCTTGATAGTGACTCAACCACTGCCATCGATCTTGCTAAGAATGGTTGTAAGAGTAACCAATTGTTTCGGTCTCTAGCTTTAAGGATCCATTCGCTTATAAACAGAGACTGGATGGTGGAGCTAGCTCACGTCCACAGAGAAGGAAATTTCGTTGCGGATTGGCTAGCTTCCTCCCCTTCTAGTCAGGGATAGGACCCTGAGGTCATAGATTCGCCTCCCTTAGATTGCTTCAGTCTACTGTTAAGAGACCAACTGGGAGTGTCCTCTCCCAGGCTGGCTTTTGTTTAGTTTGTTTGTTTTCCGTTTCTTATTTTATCCACACACACAAAAAGAGTAAAAATTTCTGAATTTACTGCATCTGGTCCAGTTAGCTCGACGTTAGCAAAAAGTTCAAATCTCCATGACGGCAATAAACGTTAAACATACTATATAAACCATGTATACTTGACCTTCTTATGAATACATAATTTGGACGTCCGTTTCCACCATTTTAAATTTTTTTAATTTTGATGTATGAGGCCTGCGTTTGACGTTATGATCACAATCTCAAGCTATGAACCAGCAAAAACTATATTAGTGCACGAGATGAATATTATATATAACTTGGTATAAGATAAGTTAAACAATATAGTATTCCCCTTGGGGCAGTGGCGGAGCCAGAGTAAAAATTTAGGTGGTGCCAACATTTTTTGACAAATTAAATTATCAGAATATTTATTGTAATTACGCAAATTAATCAAGAAAAAAATTTACTATGAATTCTAACATAGTTATCTAAATTATATATTAAATAATGTCACATAACATTGAAAATTCAAATGAACAATTATCAATGATTATATATCAAAACAAACATATAAAAAGACACTAACCTTTCCGATAAGCATTTCAAACATAAGAATTTCACTTTCCTCCCACAGCATAATAAGTAATGAACCAAGCATTGTCCTAAGGATATAAAAACACACAAATATAATACATATATGCATAATAACATTTAATAAATAATTTAAAATATAATAAAAAAATGCATACCTAAAATTGTAAACGACGCTCTTTTAAATTGACGAAATCTTCAAGGATAGAATCTGTAGTAAAAGTTTCAGCAATCTCTCTTTCAATATACACAATCAAATTATTTGCAAGAAAGTCATCCTCCATTTTGTTTCGAAGCCTTGTTTTCACAATTTTCATTGCTGAGAATGCACGTTCACCACTTGCTGTTGAAACTGGTAGAGTTAAAATAAGACGAATTAGCCTATCAACCAAATGATAGGAATTTGACTTTCTTGTCTTAGCTAATCCTTGACACAACTCAGAAATTAAAGATAAATTATGAAGTATTGGATGTTTTGGGATGTCCTTGTGAAAATGCTTCAATTGACAATTCAAATTAATTCTCTCATGCTCAGAAAAATCAAGAGGATAGTATTTTTCTGCAAGACTACAAATATCATCAACATTAAATGCTTTGTGACCATCCTTCGGATCTAATGAAGAGCTAAGTGATAAAAGTTCCATCGATTGCTCATTAAACCTTCTATCTAACTCTTGTATTTGAAAGTCAATGGTTAAATTAAAGATATCAAAATGATAGTGATGATCAATAGTTATTTGATTATGTTGTCGACGACCACGACTTTCAATATATTGAGCATCAAAATCTGGAACATCTATTTCATGAAGCTTGGAGAAATTAACAACACCTTCAAGTATTCTTTTCCAACCATCATCTCGCAATTCTTGAATAAGTTCCTTTGTACTTGAAACTAATTGTACAACATTCAAAATATCTTGAGATTTTTGTTGTAATGCTTGACAAAGAATTTCAGTGATACTCATGATCTCCTTCATCAAAAGTAAATTAAAAATAAACTCAAAAGAAGTTATCATCTTATAAGCTGCAGTAGCATCTCCTCTTTGAGAATAATTTGAGCCTTCAGTACAAATTTTTTCAAGTACTGAACATGATTCATTGTACCCACGTTGAAGACTGCATAAAGAATAAAAATGAGAACCCCATCTAGTATCACTAGCCCTCTTTAGTGTACCTACCTGGTTAGAACCTGTACCAGTTTCAAGCTCACCAATAGCCTGCAAATGTTCAAATTCAGAAATTTGGGCAGCTTGGAATTGATCATGACGCTTAGAAGAAGCAGTGATAATAGTGATGATGAAATTCAAATTCTGAAAGAATTGATAAATAGAAGAAACTTCCTTAGAGGCAGCAACCAAGGCTAATTGTAATCGATGAGTGAAACAATGCACATAATAAGCACAAGGACACTCTTTAAGAAATAGTGCTTACAATCCATTCCATTCACCATGCATGTTACTAGCGCCATCATATCCTTGGCCACGGATATTCTGCATATCAAGACAATAATGTGAGAGTATTTCAGTAATAGCATTTTTAAGTGTCATAGAAGATGTATCTTGAACGTGACAAAGATCAAAAAATCTCTCTTTTATGAATCCATCTTTGTCAACAAATCTTAAGACAAGAGCCATTTGTTCCCTTTTAGATTCATCACGTGCTTCATCCACAATAATACAAAACTTAGAGTCCCCAATATCTTTGCGAATCTGTTTTCTCACTTTGTTTGCCAGAACATATAAAATCTCCTTTTGTATTTGGGGTGAGGTATACTTAGTTGTTAATGGAGCATTCCTTAGAACAACATCTGCAACTTTTTCATTATAAGATGCCAAAAGTTTGATCATTTCAATAAAATTACCACTATTTCTTGAATTAATAGTCTCATCGTGCCCTCTAAAAGCACATCCTTGAAAAGCAAGCCAACGAGCAACATCAATTGAAGTCTTAACACACAGCCTATTTTGTTCAATTTGTTGGGAGCTTTGAGCATGCATAACTTTATCAATATGGCAAGACTGATTCATTAAGTCTACACATGAGATGAGTGCATTAATATGTTGTGAACAAGGATCATCTCCCATGTGACTTAGAAAAGCACAATACTTTCCATTATGAACTCTATGCCAACTGTTAAAACCTTTGATTGTGAATGCATCCCAACCATGTCGTCCGCCGACCTTTTTAGAGAAAAGATAGCATGGTAAACAAAATGCAGCATCTACGTAAGGTGAGTACTCAAGCCACGAAGAAAATTCTTTGAACCAAGACGCTTGAAAACGTCGAGGATGCTTTTCCTTTGAAAACGGATAGGAGCATTGAGGTTGATATGGCCCAGCTATTAAATAAGCTCTTCGTATCTCATCGACTTCATTAGCTGAATATTCCCAAATTGGCTTACGCTTGCCTGGATCACATTCAAAACTTTTATTTTTGACTATAATAATTTCTTCAGCATGCTCAATTCTATGACACTTGGAAGGAGGTTGCTCATGAGAAAGTGCATCACTTTCAGAAATTATGTTTGCAGGAGCATCACTGGTAGCACCATCAGAGGCTACTTTCTTCTTAAAGAATACATCTATACTTTTCTGTTTATCCTTGCCCATATTTCTTCAACCTATTCAATTTTCAAATTTAAGAAATAACAAATGATTATACTACACATTATGGGTGTTTAATTTGTAAACTTAAAACATTGAATTTTATAAATAAGGATTTAATAACCATTGATTTGTAAACTTCTTTACTTAGGCACGTCTGTTTCTATACATTTTTTTTTCTTTCTGTACATCTTCATTTTTTATTGAAAATAAAGATTTATTTTTATATTCTTATCCTCTCTCTCTCTCTCTTTTTTTTCATAGAAGCCTCATTTCAAATAAAACAAGACAATTATGATGTTATTTTATATAACTAATAACCATTAATTTATATGTATGGGATTTTTTTATACTTTGAAATCCCTTGTCAACTTGGAGAGGTAACATTCACACTTAATTATTTCGAAGGAGATATATTAAATTATATTCTTATATGTCTTCTTAACCAAGCCGATGGGAACTTTATATTAACAATAACTCTAATTTGTAATTTGTAAACTAACCAAATTAAAACCTGAATTCAATAAAACCAATAAAACAATAACTCAAGCAGCCAAACTTAATTAAATAAAATCAATAAAACAATAACTCACCGATGGGAACTTTCTTCTATTAATTAATTGTTTTCGAATGCAAATTTCTTCCAAATGTTTGATACCTTAAAACCAATAAAACAAACCAAGTAAAACATCAACAAAAGTACAGAACATTGGAACCCAGATAACAATAAATCAAAAAAATGAAAAAAAAATAAACATAATCTGATAATCGTCAATAGCTCACCGAAATAAAAAAAATAAAAAAAAACAATATAAAAATAAAACTACCAGAGGATGAGGATGAGGGGAAGGGGAAGCAACTCCATCAGACCATCAGCAGTACTCAAACTTCATATTTTTCCTTTGAGCATCACTACCGGACTACCCTTTTTTTTTAAAGCTTTTAAAGCTTTCAAAATGAACCCCTTTCTTGCATCTCCCTCCATGTTGTAATGAGAAGACCTTCGAGCAACGTGCCTGCCGGGTTGCGTGTTTGTTTGGGTAATTTGTAGCTAGACTAAGGTAGAGACAGAGAGCAGAGATTTGACTTCGATAATTTGTAATTGTAAATATATTTTAATTAAGTCACAAGAAGTGATAAAATATTTGGGTAATTTGTATTAAGTTGTGTGTTTAATTTCTATTTGTATATCAAAAAAATATTTTAATTTTTAGGTAGTGCCAAATTATAATTTTAACCATGACTAAATTATAATTAATTATATGATTATATATAGTAAGTACAATTTTTTAAAAGTAAGCTGGTGCCAAGGTACCAGCAGGCACTAAAGTGGCTATGCCACTGCTTAAAACCAATATAACAAACCAAGTAAAACATCAACAAAAGTATAGAACATTGGAACCCAGATAACAATAAATCAAAAAAATGAAAAAAAAAATAAACATAATCTGATAATCGTCAATAGTTCACCGAAATAAAAATAAAAATAAAAAAAACAATATAAAAATAAAACTACCAGAGGATGAGGGGAAGGGGAAGCAACTCCATCAGACCATCAGCAGTACTCAAACTTCATATTTTTCCTTTGAGCATCACTACCAGACTACCCTTTTTTTTAAAGCTTTTAAAGCTTTCAAAATGAACCCCTTTCTTGCATCTCCCTCCATGTTGTAATGAGAAGACCTTCGAGCAACGTGCCTGCCGGGTTGCGTGTTTGTTTGGGTAATTTGTAGCTAGACTAAGGTAGAGACAGAGAGTAGAGATTTGACTTCGATAATTTATAATTGTAAATATATTTTAATTAAGTCACAAGAAGTGATAAAATATTTGGGTAATTTGTATTAAGTTGTGTGTTTAATTTCTATTTGTATATCAAAAAAATATTTTAATTTTTAGGTAGTGTCAAATTATAATTTTAACCATGACTAAATTATAATTAATTATATGATTATATATTGTAAGTACAATTTTTAAAAGTAAGTTGGTGCCAAGGTACCAGCTGGTGCCAAGGTACCAGCAGGCACTAAAGTGGCTACACCACTGCCTTGGGGTTGGGTAAAAAACTACATTTTAAATTATAATGTTGGCGGCCATGAACTAAAGTATTTATCATTTTGTTTTTATGTACTTATTTGAAAGGGAAGAGTGTGTATCATTTTAAGAGATGCAAATTAAGTTGTGTTATTTTAAGTGAAAGAAAAAGATAGATCATAGAGGAGAGAGAGTGGAAAAAAAAGTGTGGGCCTACCTCTTTATTAGAGTGAAATAACACAAATTTATATCATTTAAAAGGATAAAAAAAATTTCCCTATTTGAAAGATGAGAACTTTTTCCAAATTTCAGCATTCAAGGGCATAATTTGTTTCGGTTTTCATTGGCGCAATACGCTTGAGTCGGCCTAACCAGGTTCATTAAAGGGTCACATCCTTATTTTCTCATAGAGAACATATGGATCTCAAGGCAGAAGATCTTACACTTCTCTGCAAAGCTCACTACAGTTATGTAGTGGAACATGTCCTCAGGCACATATATAGTGAGATATAGGGCAAAACAATTATGGCTCTTCTCCCTAGAATATTTTTTATTTAAGTTTTATTAATCTCATTTAACATAAGATAGTTATCTTATGTTGTAAAAAGAAAATAAGAGAGTCCCACCATTACAAGAAAAAAGAAAAAAAAAAAAGAAAAAAAAGTGAGGTACGAAAATCGAAGTGAAAGAACATAAAAGAAGATATCTTATGTAAAAGGAGAGTAATATTTTCTTTTTTATTTATATATACTCATTCTTACCATCTTAGGAGGAATCTACAATTCTTAACTTTCACGGTCAAATATAGAGCCATCATGCTCTTTACATATTCCTTTTCTTCTTAGCCATATCTGAAATAGCACTCAAAATATTGAGAGAGTTTTGACCCATGTCACTGTGTCTTGAAATACCAATATAATAATAATACACTTCATCCCTTGAAGAATACAGACTTGGTCCACAACAATTCACTGTTCATATTTGATTCTTTATAGTTTTGCCTCGAAAAATTCTCAACGAGTTTCAAAGGTTCTTTATTCGTAATTCAAAAGCAATTAAGGATTGATTCTAAAAGATATTAATTAGACGTTAGCATGAAAGCTACATCCCAACGTTGAGTTGATCAAACCATATCTTACTTAAAAAATGTAACTAGCACCGAGTAAAAGAAAGGAAGAATGGTGAATAAAATACGAGCATTAATTACAGTTCCTTCTGATCAATTTAAAATCTCTTTTCTACACAGTTTACCAAAGTTACACACTATACTAACAATAGTACATTTTTCATGGACTAGTTAACATTATGGATATGTCATGTGGACTTTAAGTCAAAAATTTCAGCAGTTTTCATTATTTTATTTTTATATATTATTCGTGGGATAGATTATAATTATTTCCAATTTATTTTACCATCTCTTATTACTAATTTTGTTATCGTTGGATCAAAATCAAATCAACAGTTACAAAATAATATCAAGTGAGAGCCCTTTAATTGATTTTGATCCAACGATAACAAGATTTGTAGTAAAAAAAATGCTAAGAAAAAAAGTTGAAACATATAACCTCCTCCATCATTCATTATTTTTAATGGAAATCACTTAACTTTTTATATTTCAGTAGTTTTTTATGAAAAAAAAAAGTCAGAAGCTTTTGAGTTCATGGATCTAGTTTACTATTAAAAAAATTTAATGATACTTGATGGTTCATATATAATTAGAACTATAAGAAGTCAGCTATATATTTTTAAAATCTTGGGATTTAATTAAAATTTTGTAAATAATATAAGTAACTAAAGATTAACTTTTGGATACAACTAAAGATTAATTTAACGTTTTAAATATGGAAAATTATACTCTCATATTGTATGAGATTCATCTCTCATGTTATACTCACATAAAAAGATGTGTTTTTTTTTAATTGGTGGATCCCACTTTATTTCTCTCATAACATAAAATAGCTTCTCTTCCACTAACTGAGAAAAGTAAAGTCTTTTAAACATCTTATGTAATAAACTCCCTATAGAGAGCATAATAAGGGACAATTTTTTTTTTTTAGATATTTTAATTGATTCATCGCTTCGCGACTAGTTCGATTTGAGATGGGTCTCAGGATTAAAACTTTAAATCTCTTTCAAAGATAAAACTCAAAAATTAAATATATACTCTGATCTCTAATTGTTCACTTTTGTGACACTAACTAAACTACCAACAACTTTCTTTGATTGTAAGGGAAAAAGTAAGCCTCATTGGGCTTACATAGACATGACATTAATGGGCCGGGATACTTTGTAAGCGAGAAAAGACAAAGTGTAAATGAGCTTTAAGATTTGGGCCTACAATTATAATTTTATCATGATTAGACAGGGTATTACTTTGTTGTATTATTATTAGTCTGGACCTATAAAATGTTTCTTTTGCCGAGTATACGGATCCTCTAGAATTATATCTGCAGCGATATTCATTCCATGGTATTTAAGTGCATTTGATAAACGCATTAGAATGAGATATAATAACATATAAGATTTTTATTTAATATTGTATGTTTTAAAAATAAAACAAATCAGTGCATGAGATTACAAAAAAGTATATGTTTTGATTCTAAGGGTGTCAATATAGGTTTTGACACGCGGGTCGCGACACGACACGAAAATTCGTGTTCGGGTTGACACGCAAAAAAATTTGTGTCGTGTTCGTGTTGGAAAAAATGACACGTAAAAAATTCGTATCGTGTTCGTGTTGATGTATGCGTGTTCGTGTCGACCCGTATTTTTTAAAATTATTTTTTTTGTTTTTTATTTTTTTTAATTTCAATCCCTTTTTTTAATTTTTTTTGTTAATTACCGTTTTGACCCCTATTTTGCGTGTTATTCGTGTCGTGTCGTGTCAATCCGCAAAAAATTTGTGTCGTGACAGTATTGAAGATTTTGACACGAATAAAAATTCGTGTCGTATTAATATTGATGTATTCGTGTCG